CCAATCGCTGGAACACATCACCCCCTACCTCGAGCCAACCACCGCTGGTATTACATCACTATGGGCCCGCACAACAGCCTTGAAGTACAATTGTGTGGTTACCGCTGGATATCCCGAGAAGGTAGATGTGAGAGCGAAGTGGCCCGCCGGACCCGAGTACTATAATTCTGCAATCACGGTCAACGCCGATGGCGAGACTGTGGCAAACTACCGAAAGACCTTTCTCTATTACACCGATGAGACATGGGCTCTCGAGGGGAAAGGATTTTACAGCGGTCCAATTGACGGGCTGGGAAATGTGGCAATGGGAATATGTATGGACATCAAGTCAGTAATATCATTCTTCATGATTAGGTCTGTGTCTAATCCGCCCAAGCCCTTACAAGTTCGAGACGCCATGGAATGCTTGGGAGTTCTCATACCACGTTCTTCACAAGCAGGCAAATCTAGTCATCATGTCAATGGCTTGGCTTACCCGAGAGGACATCACTTCCTTCAGTCGAGCACCGCACGAGCCGGACATGGAGACACTCTCATACTGGCTGTCTCGTTTAGAACCCCTGATCAGAGCAGAATCCACGGGAGAGATCATAGTCGTGATCGCAAACCGATGTGGCTCCGAGGGAGACGTGGTCTACGCTGGAACCAGCACCGTCCTAGGAATCAACGATGGCGAAGTCAAAGTCTATGGAATCCTAGGCCGTGGAGAGAAGGAGCTGCTTGTAGTCGATACCGATAAACGTCCCAAAGCGAAGCTTGTGTCGGAGCCCAATTCAGCTGCCTCAACCGCTACAGATGCAACTGCCCAATCAGCGAATACTCAGGTATCTGCTGCTGATACTGCGTATACATCTCCAGATGAGGATGTAGCGATCGATTCCAACGATGGATATAGTTCTCTGTCGCCAAAGGATTCGAAATACCCATCAGGCCAATCCGCCAGATCCTCGTCTGACGATGAGAGCTATTATCGAGATCCACTTCACTCCGGCAGAAGTTTCTCTGGGCAAACCCCCTCGCCACGATTTCCGATCTCACCCAACTCTGTCAATAACTATCCACCCTCTCCACAGAGTCGTGGTCGAAGCCGCGGTCGTGCAGGCCCTGCTCCTACAGGCTCCGCCATTGTTCGAGCCCCTCTGATAACCCCCGATGCCGCTCCTACTGCTCCCACTACATCACAATCAAAGGCGCCGTGGGAGCAGCACGAATGCTCCTCGGCGACAAATTCGAACAACCAGACCAGGTTAATCAACCGGTCTCCACCGACCCTTCAACAACCCCCATCGCCACAAACGCGGGGTCGGCTGAGAGAACGTTCCCGAGATCCCAGACTCGAGGTGCCTACAAGTCTCTCCAAAACAACATATTCTCCAACGAAATCTCAGCCATCGCCTACCCAACAACCTTCTTCCCCGCCGATCAGGGGACGAACTCGAGAGCGAACTCGAGACGGTACCAAATCCTCGACTCGAGACAAGTCGATCCAAAAAGTGCTAGGCTCTAAGAAAGAAATACGCTCGCCGACATTAAACCAACCTCCATCTCCACAAAAAAGGGGCCGCAAGCGAGATCGAACCATAGAACTCTCGGTGGCTCCAGAAGTAATACCAGAGCCAATGCTTGAACCTGAACCAGAAGCTGAATTGCTCTCGCCCCTCACTTACTCGCCTACCTTCTCTTTCCCTTCGAAGAAGAGTCCTGTCGCATCGCCTAAGGTTGAGGCACCGCCAATACCGCCTCGAGGACGGGCTCGAGATCGTGGAGATGCTGAGCTTTCCCTTGCCACACGTGATTCAACACAGAACACGCAAGGGAAAACCTCCAATGGATCTACCTCATCGATAGTTAAATCACCTCTCCCACCTGGGTCTGCAGCACCAGATCATTACCAATCTTTCTTCACCAGTAAAACTCTCGGGGAAAGGAGCGATCATTTCTCTCCCAGACCAAGAAGCGCATATTGGTAGATGTCCCTGATATACATAGGCACATATTGGGATTGCTTTTCTGAACTTAGCAAGGAGTCTATGGGAGTAAATATACGGCATACCAGGAGCGGCGTGTTCTGGCGTTTTTGTCTTGTAAATCAAATACCTCTGCCCAATCTTGAATCCCCACTTGTCATTTGATCTGAGCAAATCCTTCTACCTAGTGGCGGGTGTCTATGCTCGGGAACTGTAGAAAAGTCAAGACTTCGTCGAGCCCGTGATCGTCTTCCGAGCGAGCTTGCCGCATTCTTTCCTGAGAATTGATCACCTTGCCTCTGTAAGGTGTGGTCGGCGGGGGTAGACCCGGGATTCAGAGATCTAAACGTACCTTAGGAGAGTTCTTTTTGGGTGTATTTTGATTGACCAGATGCATATTTATGTCATCGGTTATGTAGTAAGGCCTCTTTATTACTTGTCTTTACGTGATGCTCAATATTAAATAGCACCGAAGTTTTGGTAGACTGATCCAGCTCACGGAGTATACTCGAGACCCGTTCGTGCCTCAATGTTATACCATTGCCGCAGGGTCCATCGACACCACACTCTCTTTCCACCAGGCAGTGTATTGTTTCTTTTAGCTATTTCCCGTCCTACGAGATCGTGACCTTGGTAGGATAGGGCTTCAATCTGATTATGTCGGATCTATGCCGTGCACAACCGGCTTGCATTCCAGGTTCAAACTCCATATTTGGCACACTACCCATTTCAAGCCTTTTTCCCTCAACTAGGAATGGCATCAATCAGAAAACCCATTTGTGAAATCATAATCATATGATCAATCCAGTCACTCATTACTTCCCCTTATATTTAACCATAAATTACAAGCTATATGTGGCGGTCCGTAACCCGTTTCACATTCAGGCAGATTTCACTTAGGTTCCAACGCTCCAATCTCACGATCTCACGATCTCATGCTCCCCGCAAATACCCCGGATCCTAATATGTACCCCACAAATTTAGATTGCATTTGTACCATAAACTTTTTCATGCCTGGTGACGGCGTTGCAGTGCCAACTTCCATAAGTACTGTGCCTTTCCCACTGTGCGAGTTGATCTCTACCATACCATTCTCCGTTGTACATTTTTGGTTCTCCACTATCATGAAGTCTTTCATCTCTGTTTTGGCCTTTGCGCCAGCTGTCTTTGGGCATTCTACTTTTCAGGAACTTTGGGTTGATGGGTGAGTACACCACGGTCACTTCCATGGATGGGCAAAGAATCTAGGCAAAGAATCAGGGAAGAAATTGGAGACTAACTATGAGATTTTTACAGAAAGGATCAAGCCAGCACCTGTGCACGACTCCCACTCAGCAATAGTCCTGTGACGAGTGTTTCTAGCAATGATATCAGATGTAACACTGGGACCAGGCCCGTGGCATCGTCTTGCTCGGTCGTTGGTATGTTCTCCTCACACCACTCCGAACTGTGTAAAATTACAGGTGCTGATACTATCTTCTCACAGCTGGTCAAACCATCACCGTCGAGATGCACGCCCAACCCGGCGACCGTGTCTGCAGCAAAGAAGCTATTGGCGGCAACCACTACGGTCCTGTCATGGTGTACATGTCCAAGGTCTCTTCTTCCAAGACTGACGTTGGATCCGGCACTTGGTTCAAGATTTCCGAGGAGGGATATAATAGTGCGACGAAGAAATGGGGAACTGTACGTCCATCTTTTCATTTTCACCATACTTCTTATTCGTGAGGAATGTTTTGGCATTTAGGATCGAGCACTGACATCCCTGGATAGGACTCTCTCAACAGCAACTGCGGCAAGCGAGACGTCGTCGTCCCAGCCAGTCTCGCACCCGGTGACTATCTTGTTCGCGCTGAGGCGATCGCCCTTCACGCTGCGCAGGGTAGCGGTGGTGCGCAGTTCTACATGACTTGTTATCAAGTCACCGTTACTGGCAGTGGAACGGCGAACCCTACTGGTGTTAAATTCCCTGTAAGTTTGACCGAGAGAAAGGGGGATGCCTACTGACTGTGAAAATAGGGTGCTTATAACGCGAATGATCCGGGAATCAAGATTAATATTTACCAGATGTCTGGGGATTATAAGATTCCGGGTCCGGCTGTTTGGACTGGGTAGAGTTTAGGTGAGCTTTGAGACGTGAGGGAGGAGATATATGTGTGGAAGACCAGGGTGATGTCTGGTGGGGGGAAGTGAAAGGGAATCAGAGGGAAAGAGAGGGGCAACGGTTCGTGTATATAGTCTTGATTTGAGAAGATGTGGTATGTGATGTAATTACCTTGGTGAATGATGAGGTGTGTGTAACGTAAAGGGAGTGATCTATCCTTCCCTTGTACTCCGGAAACAACCCCTATAGGTGGGTTTCTCGTCCAAGTTGGATCCGAGCAGAGACCTGGGGAGCAGTTAGCTTCTTTCCAACAAAGCCTGTGCTTCTTACCCTAGTAACGCTGTATGAGGGGCGATAGTCCATGATCTTGAGCATGATAGCTTTTGGATAGTCTTGGGAGTCTGAGACTCATGTGTGCTCAAGGATGGCAATTGCCCTTGCATTGTCGTGCAAGGGGGTGGGTTGAGAAGATGGGTTCCCGTGTACTTATCGATTCCTGGGCTAGCACTTCTCTTGAGAACGTAGAAAACATGAACAGTAGTTGTGCTAACTTGCAAGGCCTTGAGTTGAATAGCGTGGGCCTTCTGAAATTCCATCTGCATCGGACTTCAAAACCACTGTCGCCACGATCGTAGCACATCATTTAAACTCTTGAAGTAAGCACCCGATAATTTGCAACGGGGAAGTCCATTGAGACCTAGAGATAGACATCGCGAGAGAAAACAACATAGGATGCATTCAAGCCAAGTCTGATGCAGCGAAGCTGCACCAGCAAATCTTCTACGAGAATCAATCAAATACGTACATTCAAGGACATTAAGCTTTCAATCTCAACAGCCGCCTCCAAATCCCCTATTCAAAAAGAGCCAGAAGAGGAAGCCCTAGGTACAGACTTGACTTCAGTCGACAAAGATGCCAAATAATCAAGCTGCCTTCACCCAGAATTGAACTAGGGATCTTCGCATTTAGCTGCCAAGAGTGGTATACAAGTGCGACGCGTTACCACTGCGCCATGAAGGCTCTGATTGGTAGAGGAGTTCCCTGCTTCCTTCATATATCCCCTCAAATTCTTCAGCAGTACCGTGGAAGAAAAATGGGGGGTTCGCTTAGGCGCCTGCCGTCGGGCGATTGATCCGTGAGGTAATTTAAGCGAGAGACAAAAAGGCGACTTGTTGCGGCTGAAATGCAATGTTCAACTCCGGAGACGGCCTTTTTTCACCGCCTCGATCTCAGCGTCTCGGTCTTCCAGCCTTCCAGCTCAAAGTATCAAGCATAGCTTATTGCAGAAGAAAAGGAGATGGCAACAATCCAGGCTGATCGACGAGATTTGCTGTCAAATGAGCAACGTGATGCGATTGCCAACTTCCTGAGCAATAATTGGCTCGTTCAAGAAGGGGTAGTAGCGAACGGCAAACTCCATGTATTGGTGGCGTTGATGTGATACTCCATGTCCTGCAAGGCATCGGAGTACATGGGTGAGAAGTTATTTTAAGAAACTGCACCACAGCACCACAGACCACTGTGGTTTCAATATTATTTGCTACCTTGCGAGATGGGATTGGCACTGTGACCTGTCGGTTATTTGGGTTGGAATTGGGGGCGGGGTAGATGGGGAGAGGGTGTGGTGAAGAGATAAGGAGGTTGAGGAGTAGAGGTGCGAAAAAGTAACTATGTGGTATTGAACTACGCAATTGAAAACGTAAATTATGACCAAAATGATGTCGGGTTTGCCAGGGTATATTTGTCTTCCGTCGTAAACCATTACACCCAATCCTCAAAACAATGGCTCTATCCTCATTATCTACCCGGGTGCAGGATCGGGGCTACGTTGTAGCTTATGCAACCTGTTGTTGGACTGGAGCTGGTGCGTAATACTGTTGCTGTGGAGCGGCATATGCTACTGGTGGTTGAACCTGCTGTTGTGAGACTGGTTGTCCTGCGACCATTTCAATATCCTTGGGTTCAGCGTGAGCTCCAGCCGGACCACCTGCTGGACCAGTAGTTCCAACGCTGGATGGCATGCAGTGACCCCCGGCTCCTCGGTGCTTGTGAATGAATACGGAGGTGATAGCGAGCGAAATGATGAAGAGAAGGCTGCGAGTGTTTAGCTAGAAAATCTTGGGGAAGGTGGAGAGAGTATTTACAGTTCGAAACCCGCGAGTCCAGCGGTTGCTTTCATCGCACCGAGGTAACTGTCATCTGCATATATTGTTCGAGGGACAAGATCGCGCTTCTTGTAGCAGAATGGATAACAGCTATATGAGGGCGTATAGTACAAGTCGTTAAACCCCGACACCCAAGATGCCATCAGGCCCATTGATGTGATCCAGAAGATGATACCAAAGATATCGAGACCAAGGACAGCCCACTAATAGATGAGTTAGCAAAATAGGTCATCCAGTTTTCGGGAGGTTGCAGAATTCGGACCCTTAGGTCGCAGGGCGAAAGGTATGACCAGGCGAGTAAACATGAAAATACACCTACGTAGTTGTAAGCAGGTTTGAGCGCAACAAACGAGACAATGTTATAAGCCGTAATGATGAGCGTTGCAATGGCCTATTGTCCAAGTTAGAGAAGTGACTCGACCGGCCTAAAAGGGAAGCATACCGTGAACAAGCACATCGAAACGGCATCAAAGGAAAGCGATGACAATCCATAGGCAGATAACCCCAAAACTACGATTGCGAGGACCATTTGCCCGCCTCGCAAGGCGAGAAAGGCGATCGGGATGGAAAGAACATGACTGGCGGGTGTAGTCACAGCCATTTTGAAGGTGCGGCCGAGGAGAAAAGCTTGAAAGTTCGTTAGTAGTAAGGAATGATGGAAGTGATGTGGAGGCTGGGAATATAAGGGCAGGCGTGAGACCCTTTATAAGTCGGATCCGGGAAGGGTTGCCAATGGGAAAGTGACTCTCAAAGGGAAGCTCCACGCCGGGCTAGCAGCGACTTACAGCGTAACCGCGTGAGTTGAAACCTCTCCTCAGCCGCATCGGGTGCTGATACATGGAGATACCCATAGGGAGTGGGAAGAGCCAGTATGGACCCGTGCTTTCAGCCCTGGATCCATTTTGGGAGTTGAACACCGATGAAATGCGAACAGTCTTGCCTGGCAAGCGGCACATCCAATGGCACTGTGAACTCGGTCCATGAAACCCCTGAGCTTGGGCAGCAGAGCCGTGGTAATGAGGCGGTCGCCAAGGGAGGATGATATCCCTCCGCGTCAAAGCCGATTTGCTACGTCGAACCATCACGGGTCCTTTCAATATCCAACCACGATTCCAGCGGTGCTCGCTGTTCTTTGGCCATTGATACATGCTCGCCCCCCTTTTCTCCAAGCTCCTCCCCCCTGCCGGCACCTGTATGCGTACGGAGTGCTGCGTATAGGATCATGTTCCTGCTTGGCGGCCATCAGGCACCTATTAGGAGGCATTTCAATTAAATTACCTATTTCTTACTTGCCTTTAATCCTCAAAGATTACTTGTAGTTCTGTATGGGTAGAGTCCCCAGGGCCAGGGCGATCCTCCTCTTAGATCCCTCTGTAAAAATATAAAGTTTAGCGTGCTATAGCCGCGGGTCGAGAATAGGGGGTTATTAAGCGACCGGGTTTGGGAAGAGAATATAATAGAACAGTAGCGAACGACTTCCTTAAAACCTATAAGGCTTATCGGACGAGGGACTAATTAGACGAAATTACTTCTTTAAAACCATCTTATCCCTTTCTAACTCGTAAGGCGTGTTTTATGGCGTAAAGGAAGTGGGCGTGTATCAATAACTATTTTAGGGGGGGGCTAAATAAATCCCATTTAGCGGATCCGGCGCTGATTCTATCAGTTGAATGGCGGCTGTGCCCTACGGGTATGATTGACTCGCACAAAGGTTGTCTGTGCTCACGATGAGGGTGATAAGGACACCTGGCAACTGGCTCAATTCTGTTATGTCGTTCTCTCTCAATTCTACTATGTCGTTCTCTCGTCTGGTCGATGGACTTGTCATTGAGACTGATGATGTAGGCTATCCTGAAGTCCCGAAGTCCTAGGGAGTTGGGTCAGGATATCGTGCTCGTAATGAGAGCCTTGGGGCGAATTGTTCCCGAATCTAGAATATCACCGACTTGACTCTCTCCAAAAGCTATATTAGTAGATGCTCTCCTAGAACACGTGACCACCTCCGGCCACTTGATTTTGTTCCGTCAAAATGCAGTCTTCCCATTGGTCATCGGAAGTGGATCCCAGTTCTACGCTTCCTATTGGTTATATTTCAACGCTTCTAATAAGGCAAATAGGGCAAATAGTAAGCGAAATTCCGCCGAATCGCATACAAAGCTCGCCCTCTTATAATATCCGCGTTTAATATGTCTTCTGCAGGTGTAGGACAGAGCCTTGTCATTTTATAACCCTAGTCATGTGATCAGCCTCCTCTCGGTGGCTGTAAGAGCGGTTCGATCTGATCTTTGGGAGGGTCATGCTCAAAACTCTGCTCGTGGCTATGGCAGGACGTGCGATTGTGTTCTTAAGATCTTACTTGTCGCCTTTAAGTAGCCGACGGCGGTTACTCTGTTCGTACAGGTCGAAGTGTGCCTGTATGCAGCAGTTGATTGGCGGCGGCCTAGCACAGTAACAGAATCTCCCTCGTTTGCCATGGTGGAGTAGTGTTGTTTGAAGTGTCAGATTAGTGGGTAGTTGAGCCAGCTGCTAGTTGCCAGGACCCAGTGCTTCCCTTCAAATACTCGGAGTTGTCCTTCCTGTTCCACCCTCCTTGATTCTTCCCAAGTTCAATACCATCCCACGACTCCGTCACATCAAACAATCACTTCTCAACTCCCCAATACCACTCACTCCCTTTCAACTTCCAATTTCCATTTCAATTTCAATCGCAAGTATGTATGTATAGATCTCAGCCTGAACGAAACGAGGAAGCTGACATTCGGATGGATCTTCCAACATTCAAAATGCCTTCCGTCATCGAGCAACCAGCCCAAATCACTGAGCAAATGACCACTCGATCCAACAGCGTCGAGGCTGGCCAACCTGTAAGTGTCTTTCGCTTGAAATCTAGTCGACCCTCGGACTAGAAGGGTTTGCTAATCAAGGGCTTCCATAGTCTGCAGCTCCTCAAATGTCCACCGACGCCGTCGGCCTTCGAGGCGGCGAGGAAGCGGGCTGCGACTGCTGCTGCTGCGGATGCGAGGAATCTTGCTGTTAGATGCCAAGACGAGGCCATACATCAATCTCTCGCCATCTCGAACATATCCGAAGCTTCCAGCGACAATGACAATGACACGGATACGATGAGAAGAGAGGGCGGGCTGGCGAATGATGAAAGAATGATTGATTGATACGTCGTTCCCTTTGGCATGCTTGCGCTCGGCTTTCCCAGAAATGAAACACAGTTGACACAACTTCGTACACATGCCTTCCTTTCCTCTAGTGATATTTTATACTTCGTATGATGAGGTTCGAGGCTCTTCACTTAATGATAATAAAGGGGTGGTTGCGACAAACAAGCTTTGCTTACCCGCAGATTGGCGGGCTTGGCTTCCATAGCGTGCGCTCACTGGAGGAACGGGCGGTGCTGCCAAGGTCACTTGGCAGGTCAGGTCTTCAAGCGAGTAGCGACTCCATTTCTTCACACACAACTCTCCTATCCATAACACTCTTCTATCCATATCACTCTTCTATCCATAACACTCTCCTATCCATAACACTCTTCTATCCATATCACTCTTCTATCCATAACACTCTCCCATCCATAACACTCTTCTATCCATAACACTCTTCTATCCATAACACTCTTCTATCCATATCATTGATCCATCACATCTATCCATCACATACTTCTTCTCGATTGGACTCTCCTCATCGCTAGATGAAGGGTGACCCTTCGTGCTGCCAGCGGCATGAAAATCTCAGACGAAAGAAATCGCAAACACAAACCTATTACATGCTTATATTTCCTCCCAAATCAGGAAGGAAAAACATCAACTTACAGATATAACTGGCAAAGGGAACTTGCAATAAGAA